TCACTTTCTCCTTTTTTGAGAAAATTATAAATGAGTCTCACATAAGAAATTTACTTAAAAATAAATTCCACAAATTTATAAAAATACAATCAAGTCAAGTCAAATGAAATTTAGTTGTAACTAATTTACCTATTTGACAAGTGATGTCAGACACTTATAAAGTAATGTTATTTGTAATTTAAAAAGTAATAATATGTATTTTACAATTTAAGATAATAATTTGACAAGTAATGAATTTATTACAAGTTAGATGTTGAACAAGTATTGATGGAGAATTAACAAATAATAGTATGCATTGAACAAGTAATGATGGAGAATCAACAAGTACCAGTATGCGTTTAACAAGTCATATAATTGACTAAACAAGTAACTTACCACATTGATTTTACAAGTAATGTAGTTGAGAACTTAAGAAATTAACAAATTATGTTAATAAATTACTAACTCTTGTTAAGGAATAAAAACTTAAATTTAAGAAATTAACAAGTAGTGTAGTTGAGTTTTCAAGTTAAAGAATTAATAAATAAAGTTAAAAAATTATCAAGAATTAAGATATTAGTAAGTATTGATTTTGTAAGTTCAAGAATTAACAAGTCTCATTAAAGAATTAATAAGTAACATAATTGAGTTTTTGAGTTAAGAAATTAGCAAGTAAAATTAAACAAATTATCAAGTCTTGTTAAGAAATTAATAAATAATGTAATTGAGTTTACTAGTTAAATATAGTCAAAAATTTAACAAGTCTTTTTAAGAAATTAATAAATAATTTAGTTGAATTTATAAGTTGATTTAGCAATTCTCGCACAAAATTAAGAAGTAAAGTTTAGGAATTAGCAAGTCTTGTCATGAAATTAATAGCTAAAGTGATAGGACGAAGACAAAGAAGAAGAAGAATCGCTATCACAAGTGATTAATCTTTATAAGAATCCACTTTTGCCCAAAATGACAGGCATGATTGTTTCAAAGACACAATACCATCTGGAAGTGAAAATTTGATGGCAATTAGAATGCTAATATCTTGCCGTATATTTTCAGAGTTTGTTAGGTCTAATTGAAACGTAACTTCTTACAATATGTGGACCTTAAATGAAAGTCTCCCGAAAATTAATTAAAAGTCGCTCCATGTTTAGTCAAATCACACGATACGGATGAAAATATAAAAAGCTAGCCTAGGGGTTAGCTAAGAGTCTAAAACTTTTTTAAACAAAATACTGAGGTTTTAATTAATTTTTTTGGTGTGGCTAACAAGAGGTTTTAATTAATTCAATTAATCTGGTTAAATTACTCTTAATTTCATAATTTTTTCATTTTAATAATAATGTTATTATCATTTAAAATTATAATATGCATCCATCTATTTTGTTCAAAACTAATTAATATATAATTAAAAATTTAAGGATGAATATTTGAAAGGTAAGGATAAATATTTGAAATATGCTTTATTGTTGTTAGAATTATTGCCGTATGTTATATGTAACATTAAGTCTTGGTTATAGATAAATGTATTAAGCATTAATGTATTTTTATTTAAGTTATATTATTTTATTATGATTTGTGAAACTCTAATTTGACTTCTAGTGTAATATCAATTGAGCTATTGCTTCTTAACCTTGTGCTTTAATAGATTCAACATCAGTCTGATTTTTAATACTTTGAAAAGAATAAAAAAAAATTTCAAAAAAACGATAGAAAATTTGAATCGAATTTATATCCAAATTCTATTTTACCGAACAATTAAATTTAGAGAAGAAAATAAATGAAATAAATTAAATTAGTATAGAATATTTATAAATTTTAATTAATCTAATATATCTCAACATTTACACTTATTTACTTATAAAATATACGCTTATCAATAGCCATTTCTTTTTTTTTTTTAATAATAAGTCAATATATTAACATTAAGTAAAACGAGAACAAGATTAAAAGGTCCTCAGACTACAAAAGACAAAGAAAAGTACAAAGTAGCCAAGCCCAACGAAGACAAAAGAGACAGACAAAAGGAGAAAAGAAACACGGCGAAAATCTAGGACATAGTAGCATTCATCTAAAAATTCTTGAGCCAACAGACAAAGCATAATTTTAAGGCTCGTTGAAGAGAAATAAGTAATTCCCAAAGAAAGGCCCAATAGACTGGAAGAAAGGCCCAATAGTTAATAAAGAAATATCCGTGGGATTCGTAAAAGCAAAGCCAAGCTTTGGATATAGAAAAACCATGTCTATAAACTCGCGAATAAGACAAAAGAAGCTATGATATACAAGTATGAAAAAGACACACACGATAAAAGACGCAAAACAAACTGAACGAAGCCGGACAATATGACATGTAAAATATTCAGTGTAGAATTGGACTTGTAAACCAAATATATGAATCCAACGAGGAACTTATGTAAAAGGCTCCTCATGAAGTCTTAATAACTATTTCTTTCTTGCTTGTATGGTATATTTGTCTATTTAAAATAATTCAAATATATTGTATTATACTCCTTGCGACCCTCTTTACAATTCTTTTCTTTTTAGTCCTTCATTCAATACTTTTTTTTTTAAATTTAATGGAACTTACAATTCATTTCCAAAAGTAAAACTTTAATCATGATTCTCATAACAGAAAAAAGAATCTTCATTTTTTAGAAATACACCAATCCTCCCTCTATTCTACCTTGAAATAACATTTACATTACACATACATCCCTTTTATTTTAAATATTTCATTCCCATCCATCCAACAGTTAGTTAACTATTAAATCACATACTTTAGACTAAAATACCTATCTTCAATACAAAATATTCAAGAGTCATTTACATTTTCAATGATAATTACTCCTTCCATATAAAAATATAAGGCATTTTTTGAAGAGTTAGATATTAAAAAATGTAAGGTATTTTTAATTTTTTTAAAATTAATCATTGCCTTTTTCAAAAGTGTCCCTATTGATAATGACTTTATATTTATTGTAAAGTATTTAATAGGGTAAATATGAAAAGATAGGGTTAGTTGAAAAATAAGTAACTACTTTATTGGGAGGTGAGATTCAGTTAAAAATCCCTTACATTTTTAAATGAAGGGAGTATAATATAGTTGAAAAAATCATATTAAATATAAATAAACTTTTTTATATATTATATAAGTTTAAGAGTCATTTTATAGTAATTTTTAATTTTTAAATATATTTGTTGTTATCCATAGGTATCTTTTTTATTGGAGGCAATCTTGTTTGAAATATTGTCAGGCATTAAATATATTTGAGCACCTCTCCTAGAAAATTTGAAATATATAAGTTGACAAAAATAATATTTCAAACATATATGATTAAAAATTTAATAAATTAGAAAATTTCTTTGAAAAAGTGTAAGGAATTTAATATAATGATTGATAAATTAATTAATATGATATATATTTATTTTATTAATTTCAATATAATTTATTTTTACTAGTTTTAATATTTTGTAAAATGTTTAGGGAGAATTAATTTTCTTGTGTGAGATTTTAACGTAATTCTCTCAAATGTTTATGAAAACATAACCATAATAGTCCTTAAAATTGGAGGAAAGAGAATACATATATCCAAACGAGCCCTAAGCCTAACAAATTAAAAACCAAATTTAGCAATATTAGTATTTAATTAGTAGTACTATATGAAGAGTAACTAACTAACTAACAACTACCATATTCCAACAAAATCCCCTTACCTGCCTTTCACAGAAATATTACAAGATACTCCAAACCAAAAGTTAGGCAACTAAGTGGATCTCTTCTCCAACGCCCCCCTTTTTTTGTTAGGTAAGTTGCAAATCCATCTATAAATTAAGAATTTTACGAAGAGCTATTAACATATTTAATTCAAATATAGTGCAATTTTATCTATGAACCCTAAAAAATGGTGCAAGAATTCCCAATTCATAACAGAGGCCAAAAGTCTGGTAAGTAAGGTTTGTTGGTTTCACTTATTATGTCATGTATAAATGGGTTATGGGTAAAAATATACATAAGGTACAAATTAAAAACCCCCAATTTATAACAAAGGTACTTGTTATCAAACGTTGACAATGAATGTCAGAATCACATCGATATTTTATTTGACTTGAAGTGGAAATATGAATATCCAAGTGTTCAAATTTGTTCTAATGGACAGAAGTTAACCCTGGACATAACATTTAGTTTTGCCATGCACCATAGTCACATAAATAAATATTTCGATTCAAAACCTATTAGAAGCTACCGCAACTCCTCTCTTTTCTTCACTATCCGAGTTAATTCGGACCCTCTTTTTTCCCCTCATGGCTAAGAAGTATGAGAAAAAAAAAATTGTGCTCATAAGGTTTGTTGTAGTTAGGATAAATTTGAAACGTGTATTTCTTCATTTACACTAAGGGTCAAATAAAATTTCAATTATCTTGACATTAAATCAATGTTTGCCAATGCATGCCTTTGTTTTAGATTGGGAATTGTACACCATTTTTTAAGTTTTATGAGAAAAATTGCATCATTGTATAATACATGATGAATATTTTTGCTCCTAACCCATTGACATGTGGTATGGAAGGTTTTTTACATTGTTTTTTTAAAATTCATTGATAAAATTGTACCATACATAAATTAAGAATACTTGTAACTCATCACAAGAATTTTTTCATAGGTTGATTTGTGCCTTAATTTTTCTTTTAATGTCATAAGTCACAAGGCCCCCCCCTCAAAAAAAAAAAACTTTTTTTATTTATGGGCCGATGATGTGTTTGCGAAGGAAAATGGTAACCTAAAATGAAGTTACTAGCCGTATACGCATATAACTACCAATTCGATCTAGAGTGTCCCCATTGGGACCTCTTTTCCATTTAAAAGACCAATGTAGTATCTTTTGATACCACAAAAATCAGGCAACCCTTTCAATAAATAGAAGCAACTTCACACTGCTAATTCCTCATCCATCCATTATTCCTATTTCTTACTTGTGACTTTCATTTTTTTTTTCCCCTAACATTCTTAAGTTAAACATGCATACCTCTTCACTCTTTTTCGGCCTCGCACTATTCTTTCTTTGGACTTCGTCCAATGTCAACACCACTGCACATAAGCTCCATAGAGGTTTCAGCATCGACCTCATTCACCGCGACTCACCATTATCACCCTTATACAACTCCTCCATGACCCACTCGGAGCGCTTCCAAAACGCTGCGGTTCGCTCCAGGGTTCGAGCTAATCGCTTTGGCCAGTCTTCGATGGCTGAAACAAGTGAGTTAGTAGAAACTGATATATTCCCAAATGAAGCAAACTACCTCATGAAGATCTCCATTGGTACTCCGCCTGTAGAGAGATGGGCAACTGCTGACACAGGAAGCGACCTCATTTGGTTCCAATGCTCACCTTGTCCACAGTGCAACCCTCAAAATGAACCGTTATTTGATCCCAAAAGTTCTTCCACTTACGTGACTCTGCCATGCACCTCAAACCCTTGTGAAGTTCTGCCCCGAAACAATGGGTATCCTATATGCGGAACATCAAATGAGTGTACGTATTATTATTCATATGGGGATGAATCATACACTATGGGAGAATTGGCTAACGAGTCAATTAGTTTTGGAGCAAGCGGTAGTGGGCAGCCTGTTTCATTTCCTAATACGGTGTTTGGATGTGGACACAACAACAATGCCACTGACGGAGATTCTGACACAGGACTTGTTGGGTTTGGTCAAGGTGCTTTGTCTTTAGTTTCACAAATGGCGGAAGTAGGTCGCAGATTCTCGTACTGTTTTCCTCCTATGAGTTATCAGTCCACAACTAAACTAAGATTCGGGGACGAAGCCACCATATCAGGAAATGGGGTTGTGTCCACTCCTTTGATCACCAGACATGGTTCGCCTTATTACTTCCTCAACCTCGAAGGTATGATGTTTTTACTTTGAGATTGCCTATATGACTCTTTGTTCCATGGTCTAAATTGTCTATGTGAAATTGTTGTTGATAGGTATGACCGTCGGAGATCAAAAAGTGTCGCTGACAAGTCAAAGAAATGGGAACATGTTCATTGATTCTGGGACGACATTTACAATGCTTCCATCGAGCTTTTATGACCAGGTTGAAGCTTCGGTGAGAAAAGCCATTGGAGCTGGCGAATTAATAGAACGGAACAGTGACAAAGACTTGTGTTACAAAAATGCCAACTCCATCAAGAATATTCCTAATTTTGTGGTTCATTTTAAAGGAGCCGACCTTTCCTTAAAACCTCAGAATTTTTTCCGTTTCATATCTGACAATGTTATGTGCTTTACGATGAATCCTACAAAGAGATTACCCATTTATGGAAATCTGGCTCAGATTGATTTTGAAGTTGAGCATGACCTTGATCAGAAAAAAATTTCTTTTGCTCCTGCTGACTGTACTAAACAGTAGAGACTCGAGAGTACTTTCTACATACTAGAAACTATAGTCACACACACACATATGTATGTATACATATTTGATACAAATAATGTACTTTGCTGGCTTATGTACCTCAAGTGAAGAATAAACATTGTAAACCCAAATAAAATTTACTCTGCTACGCACACACTCCCACGTGTATTTTGGTTTTAGAATTATCTGTTTGAATGTATGCTTGCTTCAAGAGTAACTTTTAAATATAAAGTAATACTTATAAGGATGATATATTAAATGGCATTTAGATTAGCTATATATGACTTATTACTTTCTAAAGCAAATTTTGTAAAGTTCATTATTTATGTTGGTTTTAGAGATTTGGTATATATGTCATCTGAAAATATTTTTAACTAAATCCTTAGCGTGGATGAATCTACTATATGGAAGTAGGAATCTTATAAGACATATAGATAGGAATCTGACGTAACAAGGCACAACATATGTATCATTTTATACATGTAATCCAAATTTCCTAACCGTGAAGCGTTGCAAATGCCGTAAATACTATATAATATTGAAAAAATTTAATTGTTAACACTATAAGTGGAACATGGAAGTAATTTTTACAATGCAATAGGCATATATCATATGTTTTTTTAATTAGATTTCCTTTGTCGTGCATTGGTCGATTTGGCTTGGAGTAAATTGAAAACTAGTCATAACTAATTAGGCAATAATTTGATTGACTTAATGCTGTGAACTCAATGTATTAATTGTGGCTGTCAAAATTGACGGCTCATGCACGGTAGTGGACATTAATCCCCTCTGAAGTGGTAGGGTTAAGACTTCTAAGTTAAGTTGTAGTTAATTTTCAGCAACTAAATTAATCTTATATCATAATATATCTTACCTATTCTTTTAATCATAATAGGAGTATTTATATACTTGGAGAATAATAATACTGCAAAAATTAGGTCTCGCACAGTTCATTTAGCTATCAACAGCTATCTGAAAAATGACTTATTACTTGAACAGGACAAACATACTAGCAGCCCGCTAATTCCTGACAGATCTATATAATTAAAACATCTTCAACTAATGTAAATAATTCTTAAAGTATCAATTCAACAAAATTAACACTTTTTTTGTGAAGTTTTGAAAGATTATATTGTAAATAATTTAGAAAGTTAATATGATCTAAATAGAAAATATCTTCAAGAAAAAAAAAAATTAAGACATGCTGAGCCAGCCTCTCGTTATACTTTCCCTTATCTGTACATTTTCAATGCATGACAAATTGAAGTGTGATTAAATTTATAGTTCTATTTTATATATATATATATATATATTTTATACATTATAGATGAAGTTTTGTTCATTATATTTGAATTTGGTTGTTGATTAGTTCCGTAATGATTATTTATGTTCAGAAATAGACACATTGAGTTGTAGAGTTTGCTCTGAAAGGGTTTCTTTTCCCTTCCTTCATCTTTGGGTGCAAGCTCATATTGTGTTAAAGGGCATTTTGGAAACATTGAAGTTTGGTTGAATGGTAGCGTATTACCGTTGCCGAAATGGGGATGGATTATAAGTTATGGAAGTTGAGTGAAGAGTGTCTTGTGGCATTTCAACTGCATCATTGTTTCCATGGATCTCCAATGGATGCCTCCATGATTCATGATGGTGAAGATTGAATTAAAACTATGAGGCTCTGGATTGAATAGATCAGATGAACTAATTGGATGGAGTAGGCCTGGTTGCTTGATGATGATGGCAATGGTTGATGACCTTTGATGGGCACCGCAGGACCAGTGAAGATGCATAACAAATCAAAATGGTGGTCAACTAGATCTACAATGAAATTGGGGTCATGAAGGCTAAATTGAGACTTATAGAGATGAAAGAGAAGAAGTTGAGATGATGGATGCCATATGGTTTATCTTTGGTTGTTTTTATCCCTTGTTGCAATTAGTGAACTAATAGCCTGTTTGGTTCAATTTCTTGCATCAAGACATATAATCCTAATGCATTTCTGGTAATTGTGATGGCTTTTAGTACATGATAGTTCTTGGATTACTTCATCATGGTTGAAACTATGTAATGGGATTACCTCATGCTAAAAGACACCCATGCCTACTACTACAAAATAAGTTTACAGGAGTGTTTTTTTTTACCTTAAGGAGCGTTTTTGAAGCGCTTCTGTATCGAGCACTCCGAAATTTACAAGAGTGCTTAAAAAAAGCTCTCCTATATGTAGGTTATACAGGAGCGCTTTACAAAAAGCGCTCCCGTAACACACTGAAGTGCTCTTTAGAAGAGCGCTCCCATATGTTGCCGTACTAGAGTACTCTTATAAAGAGCGCTCTCGTATCTCTAAACTATACCGAAGCGCTCTATTAAAGAGTGCTCCCGTATGATCTATATAGGAGCGCTTTCTATAAGAGTGCTCCTGTATATGGTACTTTACAGGAGCGCTTTTTTGAAGAGCGCTCCCGTATATTACTTTTATTTTTTTTAAATTAGATTTTTTAAAATTTCTCTTTTTTCGTCTTTTAACAATGGCAAATTATAATATCAAAAATTAATTTAAAAATAATATCAACATAAAAATTTATATATAAGAAAAGTATTTGAAGTTGATACAACAATTTCAATTTTCTAACTAACTTAGTTTAATTTTTAATAAGCCTAACAAATGAAACTATTATTATTTTTCTAACATTGAAATCTAACTTCCTATCACAAACAGCCAATAATATATTCTGACCATTCTTTAACTAAATCTTCTATTTGTTCCATAGTGAAATGCAAATATTTTGCTCCAACAAAATACTACACAAGATATAAAAGTAATATATAAGTAATTAACATTATATTAACTTAATTTCAAAGCTTTTGACTTACATTTTCAAGAATGATCAACTCTTGTTGTGTGATTACTTCTCTTATAAACTTCATAACATAGTATCCACACTCCCAACCTTGTAATTGTGTAGGTACCTATAAAATAATAAAAGATGTCATTATTAAAATATGTTAGAAATAAATTCTAACTTAATTTAAAATACTTCAGCGATGAAGTTATACATATGATACAAGTATTTGCTGTTGAAAATCCAGCAGAGTCTCTCTTATAACTTGAAAATTTTCCAAAAATTCTACATCAATCCAAAACAACATATTCAGAATAACAAACATAAAATATCAATTAGTAAACTAAAAAAAATCAATTCATCTAAATAAAAATTAGAAGTATATTTCATAAAAAAAATGTTCAAGTAGTTTCCTCAACTTTAATCTAAATTATCAACTACAAATACTCCATCTAATATAAATAACTTCAATTCATATATTATTTATAATATTGATTATTAAAAAAGTATATATGAAATTTATTCTCAAATATATATCAATATATCAATATATTACATTATAAATTAATTATTAAAAAAATACCTTCACAGTGTAGTCTTCACGGCAGAAAATGGCGGTCTTCATGGCAGCAGCAATGCACGGCAGCAACAAAGGTCTTCACGGTGTCGCTTCCTCCGGTGTACAGCAGCGGTGCAGATCTAGAACAACAATGCAGATTTGGAATAGAGATGCAGATCTAGAATAGCGATGGCGACGGACGACTTTCTGGAACAAAGAACAGCGGTGGCGGAGCAGAAACAGTGAATAGCGACGGCGCAAACAGAGAACAGCGACGGACAAAACAAGAGGCCTCAGTAAATGAGAGAGAGGTTTTGAAAGAAACTCATGAATGATGAAAAGAAAACTGACGGGGATGGAAAAATAAAAATGTGAGACTACTCTTCTGGAGCGCTCATCGTTAAGCCCTCCGGAAGATCTGCTCTTCTAGAGCTCTCTCCCAAGAGCTCTCCAGAAGAGTGCCCTCTTTTGGAGCGCTCAACGATGAGCGCTCTGGAAGAGCTCCTTCTTCCGGAGCGCTCTTGGGCAAGCGCTCTTGAAGGTCCATCTTTTGGAGCGCTCTTCAAACGAGCGATCCGAAAGAGCGCCTTCTTTCGAAGCGCTTACCTATGAGCGCTCCTGAAGGTCTTTTTAAATTTTTGATATTTTATTTATATTAATTAGGAGCGTTATATTATTGAGAAGCCCTAACATACAAGAGCGCTTATTTAGAAAAGCGCTCCGGTAAATTCTGCATTTATATTTTAGAGCGCTTTTTAAGGAAGCGCTCCTAAATACCCGCTCCTAAAGATATATTTTGTAGTAGTGGCCCTTGGAATCTCTTCCTTATCTTCCTTCACTCTTTACCAAAAAGGTCTACCTTATCAAAGTTTACCACCATAATGTTGTTGACGAAGTAGTATGGCCATTATTGTTATTGTCCACCATCAAGAGGAATTTGGATCCACATCTCCATTATCTGTCATGTGCCCACCTTTATCAAAGTCAACAGAGTAGTGATAGTGAACTTAGTATTCTTAAGTCCAAGCCCAAGAAGCAGACATGTCCACTAGACTAGTTGGACTTATAGAGCCCATAATATTGTATAACCCATATTATGTATTATTATTTTCATTCAATGTTTCCTAAGGCTTACATTATAACCCTATATACCTTGCGTTAGTATCATTTGGGTTGTACCTTATATGTGTTGTCACTCTCTCATTAGAGAGCATTGTAACAGTTTCTCCCTTTATATGGTAGACACTCTCCTACATTGAGACAAGCAATAAGAGAAAGAAATTTTCTAATTATTGTGTAAATAAATCTTGGTATTAGAACTACCATACTAGAAATGATAACCATGAGTTCCTTTAGCTCGTTTAGCTCTACTAGCATTGTTACTCCTACTATGATGACAAACACCAAGACTATTTCATTACTTGCAACCCTTAACCAAGCTAGTTTTGTCAGGCTAACCATGAGTTCCATTGCTTACTTCTAGGTAGTGTGTTCAACTTTCCACAAAGCCAACCATTTTCTTATTTGAGTTACAATCATGGCATAGGAAACTAAATCATGCTTCTTGTAAAATAGTGAGAAAAATCCTAAGTGATTGTAAT